CACGTTTTGTGAAAAAATACTTTGAACTAATTGAATGACACAAGCAATACATTACAATGAAACAAGCAGTGGGTGTTACTCTGACATTTTTTAATGCAGAAAGGTCACATGGACACCAATATTATAGGTATAGGGCAAATTAATTAAGTCGACTAAAACAAAAAGTTAATGTAATGATTTCTTATATTTACGCGAACACTATACATGATTAAAACTACTTTTACGGATTTTATCGCGTTTATTTTTACTTTTTATTTACTTTTATTTTTAATTCCCGACGTTTCGGGCGCTTTCCAGCACCCATGGTCACGGGGGACTGCGAAGGGACTGGAAAGCGCCCGAAACGTCGGGAATTAAAAATAAAAGTAAATAAAAAGTAAAAATAAACGCGATAAAATCCGTAAAAGTAGTTTTAAAAGTTAATGGTTAAAATATGATACAGTCTACCTCGGTCTTTCAATATATAAAATATACAATAAACAAATCAATATAACAAATTAATTAATTCGAGACTTCAATTGTTGGAAGATATTCATGCATTTCTTCACTTCACTGTCTGGTACACTGTATGTTCGGCCAGTGTGTGTGACGGAGTTGACTTTGCATATTATCACATCTGCAAAAGGAATCAACAGTGTCAACTTCCACCTTGTGAAAGGGGATTTTCCCATGAGGGAAATTCCCTTTTTATCTGAGTAAAAGGGGATTTCCCTCTACTTGTAGACCAATCAGCTTCAGTTTTCTTTTAAAGAGAGGTTTCCAAACATGGTAATTAAAAGTAATCATTGCGTTTTATTAATTTAATAGTGACATCACACTGCACAGTAAAATTTGTAATTAAAAAATAAAATTTTAGTAATTTAGTACATTTATAAAACATGTGTATTTCTGAAGCAATCTCATCATCTCTCGATCTCATTGAGATCCTATGATTGAATTTTTCTATATGTATTAGGACATTATAAACTATATTTGATAATTTTTGAAATTTAAAAAAAATTAAAATTTAAGTGTAAAATTTTAATTTTTTTTAAATTGTAACCCTATCTTGTGGCGTATCATATTAAAGTTCCATTCAACAGCTTTAAAATGAGACCATTTCCAGGTTTGTATCATCATTGATTATCAGTCTATAGGCATCCAAATGTGCTAAAACATGATTTTTTTTATAAAAATTTAAATCTTTTAAAATTAATAACTTCAAAAATAATAGTGCTACATAACTGAAATTCGGTATTTTTTCATAAGTCTATGATATATTGCTGCATAAAAATAAATCACGAAAATCTGAGACATCAATTCTGAAAATCTCCCAAAATTGTGTTGAATTGACATGGAATGACCCTTTAGCATCCAAGACTTAGCACTTAAAGAGAATGTGATTACTATTAAAGAGAATATGAGAACATTTTAAAAAATAATGGAAGTAATGCCATATTATGCGTGTAATAATTTGTATCAATTACACTGTAATGGTAATGTGTGTAGAGACGAGTTTTTTTAACGAACGACGTATGGCGAAACACCCGTACAAAAATACTAACCCTCTAGTCGGCAGTTCCTCTTTACGAGAACGAAAGATTTTTGACTAAAAAGAACCTCTTTCTAGTCAAAAATCTGTATAAAGCGATATTATAAGATACGGTAAAAAAAAGATTTTTTTATTGACTTTCCAAATTCACTGCTAAATTCTAGTTAACTTTATAAGACATGAAATTACATCACGCTGAGTGGGCAGGGTTTTTCTTTTAACGGTATAGTTTATTGCTGGATATGAAGAATTTGCCATAAAGGAAGTTTTGTTGTGATCACCAAACTCGTCAGGACAAGAAATGAATGAATAAAATAGAATAAAATAATTAATAATTCTTATATCAAATAAACTTATTGAAAGTCATTTTTTAATTTACCACCGCTTTTCTCTACATACGAGATGTTCATGGCAATGTGTTTATGGGGTATATAATATTGAGTAGTATGAATGACATTTAATGGCCATATATTTACCGATAAATTTATTAATACTTGCCCATCGCACCTCCTGATTCTTAGAAGGTCATCTCTTAATTAATTGAATTCGTAATTTATAATTATCATCAGTTTTATTTAGAGACTTAATTAATTCCGCAAACTGAATATCGATGTACATTTAGAAACTAGCGATACACCCCGGCATCGCACGGATTATTTCTGGACAACAACAGCTCCACCTACAGGTTCCAATCGTAATCTTAACCATCCAGGGTAAACAACCCACTCAAACCACACAAACATTTTTATCAGAATAGGTCGAGCCAGTTGCGAGTTTTAATGAGACTAAAGTACAGCAATTGATTTTTATATATAGAAGATTGAGAAGCCTGGTAAGTTCTAATTCTTTTTTGCAGTAACGAAACTCTTGGTTCGTCATTTCGTTCATCATCAACTTGTACAGTTTCATTAGCCGTAACAGCCGTAGCACGTCTTCGTCCTTATTGTATTTTCTGTTCACGTCGGGTGAAATCCAGAAATGCAATCTCTGGACAAACTTCTTTATTTGCTCTCGATGGCAAACTGAACATTACGAATGAGTTGTCAGATTTCATAATCAGGATAATCGTGCGAGGTATCGGTATGCCTAGATTGGATGCCTAAGTATGACCGTACGTAATTGCATGAGGTTGTTTCTCAACACAAGCTTTACGTTAATTTATGGTTAAAACTCGTAAGTGTAATAAATTTCCATGTGTACAATGTAACGAATCCTGTTTTAAAGGCTTGCAGTAACGGGTCCGCGAGCAATGGTGTAAATAAATAAAGCGACCCCGAGGACATCGACCCGAACGGATCAAATTGTATTCAACTTGCATTAGAGTACGATTTCAAGTCCTGTGCATTGATCCATGTACATCGTTTAGATGATTTATTGAATCGCATTAACTTCTGCAAGATCAGACGAATAAAATTATTAACATAATAGTATATCTATATCGGAAATCTGATTTATTTAAAATATTTAAAATTATTAAGTATAGGCACATTAAAATCACTTTTTTAAATATTTTTTTACTAGTACTTGTTTGATATAAGTTATTTCGAAGTAAAATTAAAAATAAATACAACATTTAACTAAACACTTGTTCTATATACTTATTTGCTTTTAATGCTAGTGCTTCATTATTCATAGGTACTTTATTGTTCAAACACATAACTTTCTAGATATGAAAATAATTGGAGCATAGCAACAAAAATTACGTCGGTTTAACATGGAGTAGTTGCAAGGGACAACGGCCTTCGCACCTGGGAGATGCAACAGTACGGCCGCTACCGGCTGGAGCGGTTGCTATTTTTACTCTTTCCACTTTATCTTATTTACTATTCTGGTTCGCGACTCATTGAATTGTGGTTATTATGTGCAAGTTGGATAGGCGCCAGCGGCTCACGCTCGACACACCGATAGCGAAATATTTGGAGTGTTATGTTGCGATGCTGATAATTTCAGAAAATAACTTAATCTCAATTTTCATCATTAGTTCATATCTTTTATTAGCAATAAGCTACATGTAAATTTCAGGAGATGGATAAAAAAAGGTTTGACAGTTAAAATTATAAATATTGTCGGGGTCATTTAAATACGACACGGACAAGCGACTAAGCGAACAACTTGAGAGATCACGTCAAGCCGGCAACAAGTCGCGAGGTGGCTATAAGCAAACCGGTCGCAGGCGCCGCCTGACGGGCCTGGAGATCGCAGTGGATTATCGCCTTGTAAACAAAATTACATTCACTTCGTTCCATTTAGGAGTAAAGAAAATTATGTGCAAATTTAAACTGAAAGATCTAATAGATTATTGTGTTTGTTGTTAGGTCACCAAGCTAGGATTAACCAACATTCAATGTAAATGCTTTTATAAAACCTTAAAGAAAAGTAAAAAAAGGTTACTGTGCATGGCCAATCTTAAAAAATCATATCTAAACCTTGAGATCAGTTCGTGCAAACGAACTTCGAAAGGGTAAAAAATACCAAACGAAACGCCAAATAAAATGAAATCGGCTAAGTAGGCCATCAAATAATTTCGCAAACGTACTGAGTGCCACAAACTGGTACGTTCGAGGCAAGTCAAGGCCCGTACGCGAGCGCCTGCTTCGCCTTAAACCACGGAACTGCATTGTTTGTTAATTTGATTTAGTCCACCTAGAAAACTTCACCATATCATCTTTGTCTTCATGAGCCCGTAAATGTCCATAGCTATACTTGAGTACGCTTGAAGGCGGATTGGCTATCGCAGTAAAACAGACGTTTTCATCCTATCACCGTTCTGGATATTTTACGCCTGACGTAAAAAGGTGCTTATAACGCCATCTATCTGAAGCCATGTGATCATATGGCCCATATAAAATTATCAAATAGTCGCCACTGACGACGCAATATTAATGGAAAATAATTTCAACATGAAGTAATTAGTTTACGTTATTTAATGATTGATTAAAGCCGATAAAAAAGGTTAACATTGCGCAATTTAGAAGGCTAACAATAAAAATTTGATTGTTGACCTTAGATGATGAGATGAGATGTAAAGTAACTTTATATTTCATCTCTTCACTAATACCTCCGAATGTAACGAATTTGTAGACAAAACGAGTCGTTAGCTTCTCCTTTTCAATATGTGTATAGTGTTGCACCATTGGCCATTGCGATTTGCGATTATGACTTGAGTGAATACCAAAATGTCTATCACTGTCAGATGCAAAAACAAACATGTATTAAATGTTAAGCATCGTTCTTTCTCAATATCTTGACAGCGATAGTCGAATTAGGTAATCTTAAAGTAGCGTACGTGTCCATAGCATATAAAATAATGTGATTATTACTTTTATATCAAAAATTGCTTGTTATAACATCATAAATTACACAAACAGATAACAACACATATGATAAACACTTTATTTTAAAAAATAATTTCATTTTTACTAAGTGCAGTTTAATGAGGTATGCCACAATGAAAATTTAAGATACTCACCCCTTCATTTCCGGGTAGGAACTGTATTTTAGGTTTTGCCAATTTGTCCTGAAAAGAAAATAAATAATTCATATTAACTTTAACCTATAATAGTTAGCTTAAATTAAAACTATACTTACTTAAGAGTTTTATCATAATTTCAATGGTAACTTATGTAATATTATTGGTTAAACATATCTTTTAAATAATTTCATTAGAATAATACGGTGAAATATTATAGGTATATTTCATACGTGGTAGAACCACGCTGCAGTTATATTATGATTGTAGCACGAATGGGTTGGCTCGACCGGGGAAGGACCACGCTCTCAGAGAATGCCAAGGCTAAAATAGCAGCTTAATGCTGCTGTGTTTCATATGGCGAGTGTAGAGAACCGGAGACCCGTTTTACTGGAATCGAGGCATTCCATCTTGGTCCTCGGGGGTGATAGCGCATCTGCATTTTGATTCTTAATCAAGGATAAGTGTAGATGTCTATGGGCCACAGCATCCACTTATCATCAGGCGGACTGTGTACTCGTTTGACACCCTTATTCTATAAAAAAAGGTATAAGTATTTATTTCAAGTAATAATGACTTTTGATTTATGGGTTAAAGATTAAAGAAAAAAAAAATTACGATAAATTTTATCAAGAAAACCTTGAACATTGGAATTTAATAGTTTTAGATACATGGCAAACTTCGAATAAAGTATGTAATATTAATAATTATCTTCCACAGCCTATAAAAGTTTACAGCTGAACATAGGTGTCCCCTGTAGATGGTCTAATATTTGATTGAGATTGTCTATGAATTTTGCCACAGTTGCCACGCTTGGCAGGCTGGTTGGCAGCCGCAGTTTGGTATAATTTTGAGATGTAACAAGGAAGAAACTGCTGCCTGATGTTTCAGTTCCCCACTGTCACCTCTTAATAGGATAGTGGATATTCTGACACCGTTACTTCATGTTTAAATAGTTGTAGCAATGCAAATAAAAACGAAATATTTGCTTGTATACTGTTCAGTGACAATTAGTCAAACTGCGTTTTTAGATTGTGAACTGATTGTTGTAAACTGACAGAGCCTTCAGAGGCTACTAGAAATTATCGACTACCTTCTTACGACATTTTTTATATCTACAACGTATATGCTGAAGCTATATTATGGGCGTACCACAAATAGGTCGGCTCAACCTGAGAAGGAACACGCTCTCACAGAATACCAATAGCATCTTAAAGCATTCAGCACAGCAGCAGCTGTTTCGTATGCTTAGTGTAAAGAACCAGTTACCCTTTTTACTGTAATAGAGGCATTTCATCTTAGTCCTCGCGGGCGAAAAAGATAAATGTAGATGTCTATGGGACACAGTACCTATTTACCATTAGGTGGACTGTGTGCTCGCTTGTCACCCTTATTCTATTTTTAAAAAAATATTCCCTTTTACATCGGATTCTGATAATTCGATGTAAGATGCGATATAATCGGTGGAATACGTTGCAGTAACAGTTACAATATACGGATTTATATGTGTGAAAATTGCTACACATACATTTTCTGACTTGAATAATTTAATTTTTATATTACGTTGAACTTGCTTACTATAAAAATAATTCCTTACTAGTCATAAGAAAATAGCTTTATTCCATAAACACGTTTAATTCAACTGCTTGTAATATGTATAGATGCAAGACAAGATTATGTGAAATAAATGACTGAACAATCTGATCGACCAAATGATCAGTGATGGTCCATAAAAAATCAATACCAACCACATTACTTATGTCGTAAGTAGGTGACGTAGAGAAATGTCTGGAAAATCTTGTAGGAGTAGATAGGTGTTAGTATAACTATTGCCACAAAGCATGGTATATATATATATATATATATATATATATATATATATATATATATCATCATTACAGCCCTTCATAAGTCCACTGCTGAACATAGGTCTCCCCCAAGTATTGCCACAAAGCATGGTCCTGAGCCACCTGCATCCATCGACTTCCTGCATATATATATATATATACATATACATGTACATACATACATATATACCAGATCCCTACTATAGGAGAGGGTTAACCCCAGCAGCGGCTTATTTACGGGCAGGAGAGGAGGATGGGGAATCACATGATTAATTTTTTGTTAGTCACATGTTTGTATACGACTAACAAAGATGTGAAGTCTTTTGGGTTAAAAATTAAAGCTGAGCTCATAAGTAATAAGATAATAATAATAGTCATTAAATTAATAAATAAAGTATATTATTTAAGTGGTAACTAAAGTTTTTGTAAGAAATTACGTAAAAATTAATCTTAAATCATTATACATCTCGCAGCCGGACACAAGCTTTCTCTCATTTCTGAGGGTAAGCGAGTAAAAACTACAAATATTATTGCTTTTATTAATTAAATTTGGTAAATATTTAGTTTTTTTCTTCTGGCCTTCTTTGGCCTTCTAACATTGCCTATTTTTTTTTTATTGGATAAAGGTGACAAACGAGCACACAGTCTACCTATATATCCTGATGTTAAGTGGTTTCTGTGGCCCATAGACATCTACATCCGTCCTCAATTACGAATCAATATGCGTTGTCACCCCTGAGAACTAAGATGGAATGACTCGTTTTCAGTAAAAAGGGTCTCCGGTTCTCTACACTTACCATACAAAACACAGTAGCGTTAAGCTGCTATTTTAAGCTGATATTCTGTGAGAGCGTGGTCCTTCCCCGGTCGAGACGATCCACTCGTGCTGCAACTATACCAGTAATATAGATGCAGCATGGCTCTACCACGTGAAAATTATATATAATAGAATATTGGAGGATAAGTATTTCCAATATCCTCCAATATTCCCCATATTTGCCACTCGTTCGAGCGGGTTGGGATTAGGTCTATTTATAGCAATTCCATGATTTCAAATTAAATTAAGGTTACTTTACTACACGCCCGTAACATACATGAACTAGCAAACTAGTAACTATCGCTAAATAAGTTCTTCAAATGGTAAGACGAAATATGTTTGCATTTACATTAAAATATGAATCATAATTTTAACAATCGTGTTCATTTTTCTTTTATAAAAGGTCAGCTCAGCTGATGAGGGTAGAGGAAAACTGTAAAACCAGTTGTTTGAGGTATCTATATATAATATCCAGAGACAAATTAAACAAGTAAGTAAGCATAACTACTGCGTACAGTAAGTTTTTAATCTTGTTTAAGTATGAAAATTAAAATATTATGCGGCTAATAAAACGTCTATATAAAATGTGAAGTCAAACTTGTTGGTCAACAAGTAGAGTTAACCACAATAAGCAAGTGTCGGCAAGTTGAGGCATTGCACAACCAGGCGATAGTCGGACGCGAGAAGCATAACTAGGCTGGGCGGCGCGGCGGTGGCGGTGATGTAAACTTAAAAATTGCTTTAGTTACTTACTTAACAGGCGGTACGATGTGAAATTTAAAGAGTTGCATTGACGTCTAGAAACTAAGAGGGAGAGGGGGGAGACCCGGAACTAGTATTTTACGCGTCTCAATAAAATAATGCCCCTAGGATATATTCGATTGTAATACAACGTACAATATATTATGGTCATGTATATTCCAGTAAGATGTAATACACATATTTCAATCAAATAAATAAAAAAGATTTTATCATCAAGCTGTACTAAAATTTTTCAAATCAGTTTTAAAAAGCAAGGTCAGATGGCAAGGGTAACTAAATAGTATTTGATTCTAATGTCATAATTTTATGCGTGGAAACTGATGAAGTGAAAATGAAATGAACAACAATTACGTAGGGTGTACGGTAAGTAGGTACATAATTGAAATTTATTCGATAATTCATTACAGGCTATCAAAGTCTACTGCTGAACATATATTGCCTCACAAGGCGGATTTTGCCATAGTTTGCCCTAGTCACCGCAGTTTATTAGTTTCAAGTTGTTTATTAGGAAAGATGATGGTGGTTTGCTTCTCTGCGTTGTCGCTTACAATCCCCATGGGACGAAAAAGGTAGTGTATTATAACCGTAATATATAGTTAGATCATTAGGATATCATTTCCAGCACTGAGAATATCTCATTAAAGTTAAAATGTTGCATTTTACTTATTTAACCAAAAATTATACATAAAGATCTAAATATTATACTTAAAACATGGAACTAAAGCAAAAATTAAATAATAATATAGGTTATTTTAAACATTGTCGAAATTATTATGGTTCATTCGCACATGTATACATATTTCTATGATAATTTTAATATTTGCTGATTAATTCTACGTGCTCGGCGGAGAAGCAAAATATCGTGCCCGAGGAATAAATATACTTCGAAGCCATGATATGAAGTCCGCCAACATGCACTGGGGAAGCGCGAAGGACACATATCAGACAGCTCTAAAAACATTTACGAGATTAATTTAATAATAAATAAATAATTTAATTTCGAAGATATTTGGTTTGCTATTTTACCCAAAAAAATCCTTGCCTATTTTATTTTCTATTTATAAAGTTTTTGAAAATGTACTACTTCAACATCATTTTACAACAAAATTTATGAGTGCTAATGAGTAGTGATTAGATTATTACCGCGAAATTTATAAATTTTATTTTCCTATATCAGTTGATAGTTAGTTGTCGAGATAATAGCAATAAAGACTTAATTTAAAGTGGATTTTCTCTAATTGTTTTTTTTTAATTTCCCAAAGACCACTGTCATAGGTCTGCAGTTTTTTTTGTTTTAGTTCTACACGGACGAAGTCGCGGCTAAAAACTAGTAATTAAGGGGAAATATAATCTCAAATGGCTTAGCAAGATTTTCCGTTATGCCGAAAATATTGCAGCATTAATTTTGAAATAAATATATGGTAAAGTTGAGGATTAATGTTAAGGACTATGTTAGACGAAAACACGATTCCGTAAAATTTTCTCGATAGAAAAAAAATCAAAAGTTACCTCCAAAATAAACAATAAACCGCTGTTATTCATAAAATACTTTAAATAAGATCATGAAACTTTGCATACTAACTGAACTAACTATAAAGCAGTGCTTATGTTATTTACTTTTT